GAAGGAGGGGATTACTATAATGAAAAGCAGTGACAACTCCTGGATGACAGCCCTAATTAGTTCACATGCTTGCCACAGTCATAGATTTTTTTAAATTTCCAGCCTTTTCTCTAACAAATGTAAAATTTCCCTGATCAACTGAATTAACAATTTCACAAATACATCATTATAATGGGCTTCAACCTCCCCTCACAATCATCCTCATCCACCCATGAATTAACACTTTCAGCAGGTCACACACAGATTACACGAGGTCATAATTCCTTAAAGTAACATGACAAAAGTATTAATTTTCTTGGAAACCACACATCAGCTTTTCATTCAATTTCATTAAAGTCTGCACTCACTTCTTCACCAAAAAAATCCTTACTCTTCTTCTACATGATGCTTGCTTATGGAAGACATCTTAAGAAGTTAAACCATGGGTTTCCAGGTTAACATAAATTTTAGTTGAAAAACAAAAAATTGCACTTACTTGTTCCAGTGGTTCTTTGAGTGTTTGTAAAGAGAAGGAAACATGATGGGCACTATGACACCAGCATTATCACTCATCAAGCTCATCACATACTCGTTATTCCAGTAATACAATGCACGCTCAGCAACCTGTACATCAAAACAAGAAGAGTGATAAACTGTAATTTCAATTACGGAAAATGATTCAGAAGTCACAATGTCTAACTAACACCTGATAATCTTTACATTGGCAAGTAAGTCATAGGCCAAAGACAAGTAAGCCATAGGCCAAAGTAACCTTCCATTAAAATATGCAAATAACTCAATTTCAGAAAGACAACCCAAAAAAGAAATTGATAACTGAAATATCCAGATTCTGAACAGGACCATTCTGTTTAAGTCTGGAATTTTGATCTACCCTCCTTAAAACAACTAAGACCTTGTATATAAAATAAATAAACTGAATTCTTTCATCACACTGTCTCCCTTGGATAATCATGACTTTCACAGTTAAAACACTGGTTGGGGGTCTCTTTGTATTTCTACACCTGTCGGTGTTAATTGCCTTGTTGTTGACATACTCTTTCACACAACACAGTGGGAGAAAAAAAAATCATTGTTGGTTACATCTGTGTTTGTTTGAACAGAATATCTTATCTAGAGAGAGACACAGCTGTGTTCTGACAAGACAAAGCAGAAAATGCTGACAAAATGTTAAAATAAACAAAAGCAAGTCCCTGCACTTACTTGAAAGTGTGGGCTTGAGATACACTTTGCCAGTTGGCGGAAGAGAGGTTCAAGGATTTTGGCAAATTCTGATGGCTCAATGACATCAAGAATTTCTTCAAGTTCATTAAGAAACATAACCTAAAAAAAAAAAAAAAACAATATTTAACTTCACCTATTAAGATTTGTTATTATATCTGCAATTTTAGTCCCTCGTTACTCCACATTACAATTATGTCTGATAACTTCCACCTTATTTATGGCCTATTATTGAAGATCATTTTTGTACATAAGAGGCATTACAATTTGGGTTTGTTATCATTAGACTTTTTCAATTCATCAATCACATCCCTTTGTTTTATTTGGGGATAGTAGCATGTATTTTTAATAAGCTTTCTTCCCACAACCTTCCTTAATCCTTTTACTCCCAAGATCTCATTAGAAATTCTCTTTACTGTCTGCTAAACAATTCTGATGATATCAGTTCAGACAATTTAGTGTTGGATTGACTAATAATACCCTAATTGATAGTTATCTTAATTCTTGTCACCTCTCAACTTGATATTATAGGAAGAAATTCTGTCTTGGAAACTGATAGAAGTTAAAGGTTAACCCTTTACACCCTAACATCAGTCTGCATATTCTCCATATCATTCTTTATACATTTCCTAAGGTGCTGACAAGGAGAATTTGTTTGCCAATCAAAAGGTCCCTTCCCTAGTGACCATTTCCTTTATTCTCATGACCTTGATGTGTGATTCAGGAGTGATATTGTAGAGAGAAATTAGATGCTAGTCACTCTCAGGGGTTTTAAAGGGTTAACCCTTTAACTCCTGAGAGTGTATCAGAGCTGTATGATGACCCCCCTCCCCTACCTTACTCCTCTACCCTCTCACCTCTATTGCATCTCCACCCTACTCCCCTGCCTCTTAAGATATGCCTGCTGCAGCTATTCATTATAAACTAACTTACCTCTTTTGGGCTGTGAACCTTTGGCCAGAACTTCATAAGTGACACAATCACCTAAATATAACATGTATGTAGACAAGGTTAACATAAAAAAAAAACATAACAAATTATTCTATCACGTTCACTTTTTGATGACTGTTCCATTAACATCAATTTTAAATTTTTTCTTGTATTGAGAGGATTTTCATCATCCAGGAGGGCTGAACAATGCATCATTCCTTTAATCATAAATGGATATGCTGAGCCAAGGTGGAATACGTACATTGAGTGTGGTGAGTTTTCTAAACTAACCAACAAGAAAAATGAAAGAACACCAATGCAATAGCCAATTACCTATGAAACTCAACTGAACATTGCTCCAACAACACCAATAAACAGTTTCAAATAGAATAATATTTACCGGTTCAGTGAGTGTGGGATCCTTTTCCAAAAATTGTACAATGCAGTAAGCCAACTGAGAAGAAAAGAATAGCAAACGATGAGGAAAGTGAGCTTTTTCTCTAGCAGCCCCTCTATGATTTCAGGTCACCAGATGTTGACTTAAGAAAAGTTTGAGCTTGGAGCCCTGAAGTGTACTCATCCTAAACATTTGAAGTATCAATTCAGAGTGATGAAATTAAGAGTCAATCCCTGGCTAAAGATATTAAAAAAACTACAATCTTACCTGTGGATGGTACATACTGAGTGCTTTGACCTTGTGGAGAGGCATAAGAACTTTCATAAGGAAATATTTATGTTCCTCTTTGAGTGGAACTGCAAAGCCATTGATGATGCTGGGTAAATAATTTAAAACAGTAAGTCAGTCTAGGATATCCAAGCAACTTCAATGCATGGTAAAGAATTTGTATAGCAATTGATTGTTCCAATAATCTTGCAGGTATTCACCATTGATCCAAAGGGCCACTTAAAAAGTGTATATTCAAATTGTAGCTGGTCAGAAAAGATAGAGAGATCTCCTACCTCCCTAGAATTTCCAGCAACTCTGCAATCCCATTGTGATGTTCAGTTTCATATATAAATCTAAAGGGTTAAACAAGCAACTCATGACATCATGTCAGACAAAAGTGTAGTTTCAAAATATGCCCACTCCAACCAGAAGAAATTTAACAGGAAGGGTGTCTCCTAATCAAAAATGTTCTACTTTCAGTAGCATGTGGCTGCAAGAAGTGTTGCTATACCCCCTGTAGAAGATGTCATTTTAAGAAGGATCCCTTGACACTTTGCTGATAGCCCCTTTTTGGGAGGGGAAAAAAGGAGGCACTGGAAGGGTTTAGTACCAAGCCAACAAACACAACACAACAAAATGACCTGGGCAAGGTTTTAACTCGAATCATTTGATCTAGAGTTCCCCACACAAATCACTAGGCCAACATAACTACTTCAAACTCTTAGGAAGTGCTCTTCAGGGATTTCAAAATGTTTTGAAGTAAGCATCACACTCTGCAAAAGTAGGTGACTGTGAAAAGTTTATTAACCCTTCAACTCCCAGATCAAATTTGTAACTCTCCTTACTGTCAACCATACAATTCTTATAATGTTAGTTCAGAAAATTTTAGTGTTCGATCAACTAATTATTGGAAAAGTGTCAATTGCCAAATTGATATTTTTCTTTATTCTCTTCACTTATCTGGTTGATATTGTATTGATATTGCGAGGAGAAATTCTGTCTTGGTCACTTGTGGGAGTTAAAGGGTTAAGGACTAAAAGGTAATTACTTTGTCCAGAGTAAACAGTGACATGTAATCAAGTAGCCAGCAGAACTCCAGCAATTGCTGATGTGTCCTGCAACATGGACATTTTGCTGATGCCAGACACTGAAAAGTCAAGGCCCACCTCCCGAAAAAGTCCTGAGTACCAGTATCCTTGCTATCCAAAGCTATACACCAAGACCTCAACTTACCGGTAAAATATATTATTTATATGTTTTCTGATATATGCTCTGAGTCCAAGGAACTTGCCATATATTCTGTGGAGAACTGTCTTAAGGAAATCTCGTTCCCTTGGATCTTCACTATCAAAAAGATCAAGCAGCTAAAAACAAACAGGAAAAAAAAAATTCAATTTTTTGTTAGTGAGAAAAAAACCCTTAAATGGTTGTGCTTGCAATGTTGTTGTCTTTCACACCAGTGAACTCTTTTTGTGGAGTGGGAAATACGGTTGTTTACCAAAGATCTGCCACAAATGAAACTCTCATGACATTCAGACTATGTGTCAGTCAAGCAACAGCTAAAGTAAATACCCTCAAACAAATTGTCAAATCTCTGTAAATTAACAGATTCATTTCTGTGCTTTTATTAATTGAGACCTGCACTACCTATTTTATAATGATCAAAATATTTTTCCTTTGAACAAATACCATTACCTGCATAACAAATTTTTGATCAATAAATTTCTTGGCCAATGCTGGCTGAAAATCCTGAGACTCCAGAAACCTCAGGAATAATTCATACACAATCTAAAAGACAAAAAAACATGGAGAAATCCTTATTGACTCACATCCTTCTTTTCACTAGATCTTAAAAATGAAATAATTCAAAACTGGTTAACATTATGATTGCAATATTAACCTTGTAGCCTGCTGAGAATTTTTACCAGTGCCTTTAACTCCTAGAAGTTGCACTTAGGGCACCAATTTCAAATTTGGGCAAAGATGGCAGTGCCTTGGTGAGGGGTTAGGGTTATACAAGGGGAGGAGCTGATTACACTTCTCCCAAATCATGGCCGGATAAATTCTCTTCAAACATTAAGGTCACAAGAGTAAAGGAAATGATCACCAACTAAAAAGGCTCTTGATTGTTCAAAAAATTATCCTTGTTAGCACCTTAAGAAATGTATACATTACAGTAGTTTGGAGAATATGCATACTGATGTTAAGGTGTACAGAAACAATCAATTCCACACTTCACTTGGTTGGCACACATAATTATTCATTTCTTAACAAGGGGATAGACTGGGGTACTTTTTACAATTTTGGTTGTAGGGGGTAGTGCTCATTTGAAGAGAAGAGTGAGTCGCAGCAAGAAAATGATTTTAGTATGAGCAGCACTTTTCAATCTTTGAACTTACTTGAAGATGTGGCCAGGCAGCTTCTAAACTTGGTTCATCTTCTTCAGGATCAAACTCTGCTCCATTTGGATTTGATGGGGGTGGAAGAGTCCTGAATGTGTTGACAGCAAACTGCAAAAGCCGGTAAACATTCATTCATTAAACAGAATAAGAGAGATGGTAAGTTTTGAGCTTCGTAAAGAGATTGAGAAAGATGTTTTTCATCTAGTCATGAGCTCCCTTCAGTTTGCTTTCATGAAAGACATGAAAGATACATATCAACTTGTTTTTCAACAGCTGCGAAGGTGTTTACTGCACAAAAGTTAACTAGCACTGAATCTCTTTGAAACCTGGCCAGGAGCCTACATGTAATTGGATCTGGTATATAAATTCAAGGCTTTCCGGTAGACTTCCCACCACAATAATTGCAACAGCTAACCACAAGTTTCTTATCTGCTGTTTTCATGAGGTAACATTGAACTACTACAAAAATTATTCTCTAAAATTAACTTATTGAGCTAAAAAGAAAGCCACTAAAGACAAATAAAAAAAGGAATGAAAATTTAACTTTTTAACTCATTTTGAGTAGAAATTTTACCAAAAACCCAACACTTGATGAAAAAACCCAGTTTTTCCAGTGTACTTCCAGACACACTCATGTAAACTATTACATCAATCAATAAACATAAATTCTGCATCTTTACCATACGAGTTACTTCAGGATAAATTGGTTCTGTGATCACATTTTTGTTGTGAGTGATAAAATCAACAATCTCATTAAGTGCCCCTCTTTTGACTTCCTTGAATTTGAGGTCACTTAGCGGATCCATCACAAAGTCGAACAAAATGCAACACTGCTGAAGTTTTTGAACAAAGAGTTGTTCTCTTTCATTTGGTGCTGTATCTGCAAAAAAAAAGAAAAGTCAATGAGTAAAACTAGTGCCAAATGCTACAAATTTCAATAGCATAAAATATTGACAATTAGCATAAAAATGCACAGGTAAATAACACTTTTTGTGCACACTGGTTTGGAAGTGATGCCAAAACTGCTTGTTAACAATTTCATTTCCAACCAATTTTTGGTATATTGAGAGGTGAACCAATTTTTTGGACCAATTAATTTTCAAGTGTACAATTTTCAGAATTTCAACAAAAAGCTATGCTTTCTGGCCATGAATTATAGTAAATAACTATTCAAGCATGCTAAATATGCTACATGTACTATTCATAGTTTTTCAGGAAGTAAGCAATTGTCTGGTAAACCGCACACACTTATAATAAAAATTTTTTTTTTCCCCTGCATAAGTTGTGACTGTTATGTTGAAATAAAAATTGGTTTATACTTTTAGCAATCATTTATCAAGATATGAATGCACTTGGGAATTTTGGAGAGCACTCAGGAGCCTAGAGTTGCCCTTAGCTTTGCCTTGAGCAACTTATACAGTTCTCTCATGCTCTCTAAACTACCTGCATGCATCTGTATCCCACACACAGTAGGCATGAACCAATTGTAAGTTACAAACTAAAACAATTTCAAGAGTCTATGGAAAATGGGAGAGACATAAGATAATCCTAATCTAACCAGTTAGAAATTAATTTCCTGTGCAAAGAAAAAAAATCATTCTTAAATGCCCTTTTCTCATAAGATCAAATAAATATATACCACACAGGTGAAAAGTGCTTTTAGCATACAATGATTGGCTGATTTGGAAGTGACTAGCAACTACAATTCACCTCAAAGCAGCTGAAGAGACAAAATCCTGCATCAAAAATTTAAATTTCAACCATTTCTTGTTATATACAGTGGTGAATTTTTACCTTGCTGCTCGATGGCTTAGTAAATATCCACCATTATTCACCACTACACGTTCCTAGAACTTAAGCTTTTCATGGAAATCAAAAATTTGTTTCCATTAACCATTTTCTAAATGTGGACAATAGTCTCCCTTTAAACACATTGAGTTGATTTGTTAAGAAGCTATTCACTGAGGAAGAGGCATACCAGAGAGTGGAAATATTACCAAACAACACCTTACTCGTTTCATTTCACAGGGGTACAAGGAACAAAACTGCTAACAACTATTTAACTTCCTAAAATACCAAAATTTGTAAGAATTAAACTAGTTACAGAAAATTCACACAATGTATAAGTTTCCTGAAATAAGAGTGCCAGAAAGAAATCACTTGTTTCTTTTCCCCAGGATTATATCAGTTGCAATTTAATGCTCAAATCACCAAACAGCAGATTTAAGATCTACTGTTAGTTAAAGTTAACCCTAGTGGAGCAAGTTTCCCTCTCCTCCAACAACGCCAGCTATATAACTCCATTACTCGACAAACACATTTCTTGGCAGGTGTTCAGACCATGTAAATTTTCTGCTAACATAGCATGAACACATCACAAAAAATTTGACCTTATTAAATTACACTTTCAAGAAAAATCAATGAGTACATCTGCGCCAAAAAAAAAAAAGGTACAGATGGAGGTAAAATTTCCAAACAGCCTCCCACTTCATTATGCACAAACTTCTTGCATAAAGAAAACAATGGCGAAAGCAATCAATTGCGTTTAAGTTTCAGAGCAGCATGGGGCTCTACGGAAATCTTACTATATTTGTCAACTACGTAAATTAGAGAGTAAGTAACACATTTGGCTTGAAGCAATATCTGTTTCTCTAGAAAGCCGGAAGATTTTACAAAGGAAACAAATCACGAGATTCGTATGGCTTTTTGATTTTAATATCTAACAAGATCAAATTGATTAATTGAAGTTCCTGCGGAGTTGGCTTGAAATATTTACTTTATCGACACATCAGCTAATCAGGTTCTGAAGTCAGAAGACACTCGCTGATATCGCAGTTCCAAACAAAACTTCGTCCAGCAGGCTTTTAATGAAATTCTCATTTGAATTATTACTTCAAAACAAGAGTAACGGTAAAAAACATTTACCGTCACAAAAAGGATAAACTTGTAAACAAAGCAAACCCGATGATAATTCAGAGCAACTTGTCACAGACGTCCCTCGATGTGTACGTTCATGAATGTTGGTAAACGAGTAATTTAAAACAAAACTGTTGGACCACAACAGTGAAAAGGACAAACGTCAACCGTGGTGACTCAAATACCATTTTTGCTGTAGCACAGTACTTTTCGAATACCTACAGACATAATAAAAGCGCGAACTAGACAAGATATTCTCGAATAGCGTTGTCCGAACTTACCCTTCAGGGGAGGCAATTTCATTATCTCCCGATTGTCGCTCACGTTGAAAGACGAAGAACTCTGTCTCTTTTCCTTCCTCATAATCGATGGTCCATTTGCATATTGTCTAAGTTTCACTGCTTGACTGGGAGGATGAGTAGCGGCTTGAGACTTCGCTTTTGCCTACAGAGTTAAAGAAATATCGCACAAGAAAAAAAAAATAAGCTTAAAATAAGCAAGACCCGTTGACACCCATCCCAGCTAACAATATCTTCATCTATAATACGACACATCAAAACAACAATGAATTTCTGGTGTGAAATGTTAGATTTTCACCTTACCTCATCGCTTAAACCGTCGCCGTTTTCTTTATTCGCTTGCTTCGCACTCCCCCCGGCCTTTGAAGCCTGCTATTTGACCAAGAGAAATAAAGTCAGTCCATAGAGCCAGAGATCTGTCATTATTGCTAAACCCGTCACGTCCATATCTTAGCTTCATACCGTTGAAATTTACCGACCACAGAGCTTCCAAAACATTACCTTCTCTTTCTTTCCTTTATTTGGCATTCTCTTGATCCATTTAGCTAGTGTACACGGTCAACATAGGTGAGATAAACAGAGATTTTGCACCAACGACGTCGAGAACCCGCGAGTATCAATATTATGCACCTCTCTTGCAGAGCAGTAGCAAACTGTTCAATAATTGGTTGATATTTTCTAAAGCATGCTATAAATCACGTGGTCTCTTCTTTGATGAAAGCGCGGGAACATTTTTGTTGATTGAATTATTCCTATACTAAAAATATCTTCGGCGGTCTAAAAAAATCCTCTAAGAAGGTCTGAGTAAGATTTATGGTAAATCTCTTTAAGGAAAACTACACCAAAAGCACACAATTTACGAAGAAGTTAACTTTGTTCAGGAAGGATCTGAAAATTGGATGTGCAGCTTCTGGAGATGCCACTGAAGAAAATTCTTGAAGTATTTTAAAATTAGGTGCAAAGTTAGACAGCGAAGTAATTAATACCTTACACGAGCCGAATCGAATTCAATGGACTCATTCAGTCAGGCTTATCTCAAGGTGATTCAAAATCGTTTTGTTGATTTCAAACAACCATTCTTCGACAGATCCATATTTTCACATTGTTTCGTTTATTGCATTGGATACTGAATAGAAAAAAGAAATCTTTGATTATATGTCAACAAGTTGAGATAATTTTTTACCTACCAGTCTAAACTACAACATCATATCCTCTCTGTTCTAAATGTATGTGCGTATGACTCAAAGACGAGTTTGAAGACCTCCGCTTTTCATTCACCAAGATTCAAATTTCTCAAAGGTATTAAAATATTTACAAAGTTACTCTCAAGGACGATCAGTAATTTCCAGCCCATCCTTGCCCTACAAATAGCGCCGAAAGCGCCGCACATATCTTGGAAACTGACCTTAACCTAGGAAAGAAAAACAAGAGTAGTAAAGCTTGTATCTAAGGAAAACTGTTGGAAACTGATAAAGTTGCTTCATTCCAAGGGCAACAGGCTCATCAGTTGATGTTCTTTTCGTTGTCACGTAATTTCGTTGTCACAGAATTTTCAGATTAGGTTTGCTACAAATATTTGTTATTCAGAATGAAATAATCTGTGGGTGTTGTGCCTTCATCAAATAAATTTTTAATTTAGCCGCGTTTGCTAAGAAATAAATCAACCGAAAACGAAGTTCAATCTGTAGTTTGCAAGGTGTATTGGTACGCTTTCTTGTAATTTCTCAAATATATTAAGTGTTGAGTACAAATTCCGTAATATTGATTCTTACAAAGATGGCTCAGCAGGTATATATTTTTAATCAAGGGGGGCGGGGGGAAGGGAGAAGATACATCCCTACTCGCGGAAGTTTACCCCTGGAATGTGTCGGCCAAAGGGGTCATGACTTTCGTACTATTGATGAAGAAAGGGGAATATGTAATAGAGAGTTTCGTGAAACGGTCCATAGAGTTTCGAAAAGTACGAACGTAGACATTTGAGTAGAAATTTAAGATTACACAAAAACAGGATCCCATTTAATGAGCTCCTGACAAAAATAATTTCCCCGAGAAAATGCGATCGATGACAAATAAACTGTAGTATCCCAACTTTGATTTCAGTAGCATATTGAAAGGATTACTCATTATCGAAGTGCAAATAAATTCAAACGGAAAGCGATTAAGGTCCGTCTACATTGCCAAGCGCATTGTAGCCCCAGACCTCTTGACGCGCAGTTTCCAGCCCGGTTTTAAAATCATTTTGCATGAACAGGTGTAAACACGCCTATCACAGCATTTTCTCCACCAGATCGCCATCGTTCGCCTGATTGGTTAATATAACACAAACCCATGGTGAATCTCAATACCACAGAAGAGCAAATAAATCATAATTTGTCATCATTGTCTCAGGGTATAACAACGCCCTTGGTCTTTTTGAAGTCTCGAATGTATAAAAAAGAAAAACAAAACAAAACAGCTGATCATTTCTTTATTTGCCAGGCGACAAGTCAGTCGAATTCTGCTCGAATCATTCGAGCGTTTGCTTGTGAAATCTCGTTCGTTACTTGCAGGTAAGCTCCAAATAATTAATAGTAACAAAGTAGTATTCCAATTGAAGTTGTATGTACACGGCATCACATTGTTTGTTCACTTTTAACTTACAGAGTTTCACTCCAATAGCGAAAACACAATGTTATCTAAGCCCGAAGGAAACGTTCTAATGAAAAAGGCCATTCACGACTCCAATATTCCTAAATATGATGAAAAATGAATTTTGTACAATCTATCGAACCGGTAATATAAACTGTTTCTGATCTATCGATACAAGACAAATCTAAACGTTAGTTTCGAAAAGGCAGAGCGATTTCTTCGAAGAAAAACGCCTTTTTTTGCCAACACACACATATAGATGTATATCTAAAATGAGCCATGCGACTGAATCTACTCCATGGCGAGAAGCCCTATATTCAAAACATTTCACAGACAATGAAACTAATAATTAACCGGTTGGTGGTTTTCTGTGTGCGAATAGGCTCAGACTAAATATTTCAGCTTGAATTATACATTAACCTCTCGGGGCGAGAATATTCTGGTTAAGTTCAGATATTTAAATACTGGTACCATGGCATTATAAATTGCAAGATAATTCCTGTAGCTAATCATCGAATTTTGACCCGAGGGCTAACTTTTTCCTGTCGTTCGTGTGACAGGACACTGAAAAATGAGAACGTCGGGTGTGTACGTGGGCTTTTTTCCTTTTTTTCATGGATCGATGGGTTAGAAATGTACTGAAAAGAGGTTTGTCTAGTCTTGCTCTAAATCCGCGCTATTTTGCGGTTCGTTGTTAATCTGCGGGTTTTCTATACCTTGTATAAATACGCCGACGAAATTCAGCCGGTGTGTTAAACATTCTAATTCGATTTCTTATTACTTTTCAAAGTGAAGTGCTCCTTTTCACAGAGAACTGGGTCATTTCCTTGAAAACAACGAAGGTTTGATAATCCATTCTCAAATCAAGTAAAAATTCCTTTCACTTATTTTGGCTGCCAAGATTATTCATCAAAGATAAATCCGGATGGAATTAACTTTCTGGAGATTGCAGAATTTGATAAAAACGGCTCAGCACGATCTTCTTTTATGCCAATGACGTTGAAAATCCGAAAAAGCACCTGACAACCAGCCCGCTCAGTGCGCGCCCTGGAAGTGTGGGGTTGGGTATTAGTATTTATAATTTGCGCCAGCTCACTCACAAGGGCAGTGGAATTGATATTTAAAAAGTGGGATTTCCATTTTTCACCCTTCAACGCTTTTCTCACAGTATGCTTCTGATTTACAAAAAAATTAGGAATTCTACTTTGAAGTTGTTAAGACTCCGACCACGTCGCAAATCCGGTTTTAAAAATTCAGATTTAGTCTCGACCAAACCAAAGCAAAATATATTTGCCTACACCAGCCTTTTTGTTTTGTTCTCAGCTGTCTGCACCATTTTTCTGTTTGTGTTTAAAAACGCATATCTTTTGAACTTTTCGTCTTTGCTTAAACTTTCGTTCCGACTGAGGAATTCTGAGCGTCCGGGTGAGTGCAGCCCTGACAAGGACTGTTGTCGATAGTGGTGACTGCTGTTGTCGATAGCGGTGACTGCTGTTGTCGATAGTGGTGACTGACGTTTCGACAACCTGAACGGAAGTCATCATCAGAGTCCAGAGGTGCGATACAAATTTCTACAGAAACTGTTGTGCTCCGTCGGTGGAGGAGTATAACATGATAACTTGGTTTTATCAACTAGGTTGATAGTGTAAACTGGCCATCGTCAGAGCGAATGACGAAACTAAGGGCCTGTTTAAGTGGAGGTAGGAGACTCCAGGAAGGTGAGGTAACCCGCCTAAAAGTGGTCAAAAAATAGAATGCGTTTATATACAATCTTACAACCCCGGGGTGCTGGGGTGAGGTTTCTTGAGGTTGTTGTTGCGCTTAGAATTAGGGAGTTTGAGCACAGGCGTCCCAAGCTCACGTCTCGAGTAAGACGAAAGATTAATTCTCGGACACTTATGTATTTATTCAAGAAAGAGTCCCGCCTTGTGTTACGCGGTGTTAGGTTACGCGAGGAACCATTAACCTAATACGTTATAAAGAATAGTTTGAAATATGGTCGATTTACAACGCTAAATATTCAGAAATATGACCATTTCACACTCCTTGTGTGTCCGTCGAGGTTTCTGGGGATTTCTGCCATGAGACGGCTAGGAAATGTACAAAGTTTTAAAACATACGTGTTTCTCTTTTGAGCTTTTTGCCATGAAAGCGACCCCGGCTAGGCGTACCTGGATTAAATGAGAAAAAAGATGGCGAAAAACGAGTGTGTTAAAACTTTGTAAATTTCCTAGCTGTCCCATGCAGAACTTAAACGTTAAAACACCAATTTTCACGTCTTCTTGGCAATGAAACCTCGACAGCAATTCAGTCTCAACACTACATTCGATTCACATGTTGTGCCGAAGTGAAGACGTAGTACCGTCAGAAACGGTAAACACATATATGTTATTCACCCTCTGTCTACGGCCTCGGGCACAGTTTTTCCCAATACAGAACGACCTTGGCTGGTAAATAACATTTTTATCTTTTTCTAAAGCATAACAAATGGTTGCGAAAAGAACCTGAATGATAAAGGGCTGTAATTACGGCAAGATTCTCCATAAACGGAACAATTTATGAGCGAGTAGATGACAGAGAAAACAAGGGCAATGCAAATGAAAGAGAGGGGTTTCATCAAAACATATTTATTTCCGTAATGATATTAAAAGGCGATTTAAAAGGTTTCCAAGAAAACTTCGAAACATTGGATCGGATGCCGCCCGCTGTGAGCGGGCCGGATGGAGAGAATACTGCCCGCTCACGGAACCAATCAGATTGCAGGATTTGTAGAATATCGCCCGCTCACGAACTGAGAAAAAAATAAATCGAGCCACTGGCGAAAATCTTAGAAGAAAATAAATTACGTTTTTACGGCAACGTTTTACCACACGTCGCCGTCGTGACATCTTAAACTCCTTAACTACAAGTGCGATAACAACCTCGAGAGACTTCACCCCGGCATCCTGGGACTGTAAGATTGTATGTTTTTCGACCACGGCTAGGCGGGTCACCTCACCTACCTGAGGTCCC